ATGTGAGCGAGGCGCTTATAATGCAAAATTATTCAGACCGGTAGCGGCCAGCTTGATTTTGCATGGCTTGACGGATCGCCAATGGACTATTCCAATTATGACATGGCCAATATGGATAATGCTAATGGCGACAATAATTGCTTGGAGGTCGGGGCATCACCTTAATCAACTTGAAGTAATTTAAGATGATGTTTACTGGTCTCTGGAACGATGTGCCGTGCGACAACGTTGGAAATATTGCATGCCAAATGGATCCCGTATTTATGTGAAAGAGCAATGATGACTCAGGCTCCTCTAAATCATTGGTTGCGAACATAAACAAAATTTGGGAGAACGTTACAAAACCAAAACGAGCAGCATTGAATAATAGACTCCCATTTTCTGGGATGCACAAACGGCAGTAGGTAGTAAGGAAATGGTTTTTAAAGGGACATTCCGCTCTCGTCGATAATTTCAAGATCTTGAAATAGTCAACACTTTAGCATGCAAGGTTACGGTAGGTGCTAAAGCTTAGGCTAGGCCTAAGCATACGCTCACGTCGAAGTCAGATTTGTGACCTTGCAATTGTGTGAAATTGTGGAATAGTGTGACGTGCTGAGTGCAATAATCGCAGTGATGGCAGTAAACTTGAAAGGTCTCGATCCAACACAACCCCTAGAACTTTGAAAAAAGAGGAGAAAGCAAGCGTTTTTGTTTAATTGGACTAGCAAATTCTGAAGTATGCACAGCTAAAGCGGCAGCTACGATTGTGTCTATGATGGTATGTTGATACGAAGCGCCGCCTAATGGCGAAAGCAGATTTGCTCAGGTTCCTTCTGACAGATTTGCTATCAAAACGTTGAATATTTTCTTATGAATAATCCTCCCGTAAAATCCCCCAGATCTAAAAGCACTATAAAGTTACAATAACGCGCTGTTTTTCGACCTACTCGAATACCATACAGGCTTTTACTAAGGATGTTCCGCTCCCTTCAACACTAGCACGATTTCAGGTCCCACTCTTTTGGCCCATCGGTCATTTTCTTGGTCGTCGGCGGCACTCCATTTATTTCCCGGACTACACATGACGATGGAGCCCAATGCGCATGGAATTTTGCTGCCCTCTAAGAAAACGATGTGGCTGTTTTCACATTCAACGTCTTCAAAATTCTGGAGTTGTCTGGCGAATGAACTCCAAACTAGATTGTTATTTACTTTTTGCCATATTATACCTTGCTCCTGCAGATGGTCAATATTACTTTGTTCGGTTCCCGGGTGCTACTGTTACTGACACCCCGGAAGCTATTTGTTTTGAAGCGTGCGTCAATTTGGGGGATGCTTGTAAAGGCATTGGTGAGTTGAGGGGCATATCTTTATTATTAAGTCAAGATATCCACTGTCAAACATACGGACCGGATGATGGAGACCCTGACGTGGTCTTTCTGAATAGCTCGTCGGGGACGGATGTCATTAATGCGTGCGATATTCAGATTGAAGCTTGTACAGAAGTAATAAATTTACCAAAGTTAACTTTTTCTATTGATACTCTGTCAAAATATTTTAGTACTATTGTGCAGACGACGGCTGGACGTTAGGGGATGGCACCTCGAAATGTTATATGGTACCGAATTAAACTTTTTAACGATACCCTGATTTTCTTTAGATGACAGGTCAAAATGCAACGTTTAATGATACCACAAGTGCCTGTGAAGGCCTAGAAGCGAGGGTTCTGACCGTGGAGAATTCGGCTGAGAATCGAGCGATTTTCAGTTTGGAAGCGAATCCTTAAAAACATCATGTTTTTAGACCTTTGGCTATCGAAAAACTTCTACTACGGTCCTTACTTGAATGGGATAAGGGTATTCTTTCAGGGCCAAGTCATTAAAAACAGTTTCTAGACCGGGAGCGGCCAATTTGACTTTGAGTGGGCTGACGGGACGCCGATGCACTATACAAATTACGATGATGCTTCCATGAATGATTTTGAAGGGTTGGAGTACTGTTTGGAGGTAAGAAGGTTTGAAGGGCATCCAAGTACTCAAAATATTTCAGGGTTGTTTTATTCATTCTCGGTTTTATTACGTATTTTAGATGCTGGGCACCGGTGGTCCATGGAACGACCTGAAGTGTGATTCCCTTCGAAGTGTCGCTTGTGAGAAAGCTGCAAGCGTTTATCAATAAAGATGCCAACATTTGCAGCAACGGTTTATTAACGCGTAGAGCTCCGCTTATTTGACAAACAATATACTTCGCCAACCACCCCGGGTGGTACCACCCCCAGGGGTGGTTAGACGGTGGGGCGGGGGGTGGTTGGGAGGTGGTCGTGGGGGGTGGTTGGGGGTGGTCAAAGGGGTGGCTGGGGTGGTTGGGGGTGGTCAATGCATAAGCCACCCCACCCCACCCCTTTCAAAATTTTTTTCATGATCTGACAATAAAAGCTTGTTCGAGTCAGATAAGGTCCCTCAAAGACGATGTAGCCGGAAGACCGAAAAGTTTTATTGCCAGATCATGAAAAAATTTTGAAAGGGGTGGGGTGGGGTGGCTAATGCATTGACCACCCCCAACCACCCCCCACGACCACCTCCCAACCACCCCCCGCCCCACCGTCTAACCACCCCTGGGGGTGGTACCACCCGGGGTGGTTGGCGAAGTATAACAAACAACCTTTCTAGTTCGGAAAATCTCGATGTTAATCGATCGATTGATCCAAATTTTTCGCGGGTTATAGAAGTGTATTGATTGATCCGTGAAAATGCATCAGATGCCCTCGCGCAAAAAATTGCGGGGCGAATTCATTCCGCGAAATAATGTTCAAGATCACCCTTCCAAATATTGTAAAGACTTCGACCACCTCAACAACCCGAAAGCCTGCCAACTGGTAGCACAGACACATTTGATAAATGCCAAATAATAATTTTTCCCAGGTTGTAACACTAAAAAAAGCAAGGAGAACAGAAGTCATGATGAACAGAAACCGAAGCATAGATCTGATTTTTGAAGCCATGGAACCGAGCAACCAGAGAAAACGTGAGACCAAAGGCGCCGCCAAAAAATCTGGCGAACTGCTGCATAAAATTTGCAGTAGAAGCGTTTGTATAAAAGCAACTCGGGGCGTGACAGAAGGGTTTTAAAAAAATGTTTCTAAACTTTGGTGTGGGTCTATTGGCCATTTTGACGATAGTAACTGCCGCCGCGATTGAATGTACTGGTTCTGGCTGTGATGACGTAGGCTTTGGTACTAAAATTTATTATCAGAAGGTTGATGAACTCCGATAGAATTATCAGAGACTTTCAAAATAGCCAAAATCGCTGTTGTTTAAAACCGGATGCGACTTTCAGTTGACTTGTCAGGATGGGTGGACGGCGATGAATCGGACGAGAAGCTGCTTTAAAGTAAGATTCTCAGGAAAAAATTACCCGGCGTTTGAAGTGTCGAAAAGTCCGAAATTTTTTCCACGGCGGTATCCAAACAAAACACATTACTCGAGCCGTATTTTCATGTGTTCTAATAGATAGTCTAGGAGACTGGCGTTGAAAAATAATAGCCCGAAACTGGCAATTTTGGGTTACGGTAGCGGATCCACGTTTAAGTGGCGGGGCACCCTTTAGCGAACAGTACAATCAATTGGATAGTAAAGTGATACTCCAATGTAGTTTTCTATTGGTTATTTCAATTTTTTATGGATAATAATAATTGATCAACAAAAAAATCAGACAAGGGCACGCCTTACGTTTTTTGCTCGCGCTTCTTGCCGATTTTTGCTCGACTGCATGCTGAAACGCATTTAGTCAAGTCTTTCTCTCACGGAGTGAAATGAATAGCGAGGATTTTCCTATATAAGGATATTTCGGGCAGTATAATGTCGGAAGTAGAAGCGTACGCTTGTCCAGCGATGTTCTGTCGCTATAGTACCCCATGTTCAACTACTCTGAAACGACATGTACATTCCCAGCACCGTGGCACCACTTACCCGGCGTCTCCGGCGCATTTGAAGGAATTTGCGTGCGAAGAATACGACAAACGCGAATGCGCTACGGCACGCAGAAACATCTCCGAGAACATCAGAGATTGAAGCATGCAGCAAAGCCTACTGTTGGGGACGCGCGAATCACTTGCTCGGTGTGCCCGGACACGTTTTCTAGCCACCAGGAACTACTTGTTCACTTCCAGCAGCATGATGAAAAGTACGCGGGTGAAGTATATGCTTTTTAGATGCGCAAATGCCACGCTTGAGCTCGACTCCGAAACCATGTTTAACATGGCTAAAAGCAACTGAGCATGAGAACTTCTGTTCCTTTGCGATTAAAAGCTCAACAAACATCAGTTTGACAAACTTGCCAAAGAGAATAGAAAGGCCACGCCGATCCTCGATGCAAGCAAGACGTACCAGATGGAGGAACGAACCGCAAGGAATGCGTTCTTGGCGCAGCAAACAAAAGCCAAAGCTTAATCCCTCGAGTCAGGTTGCTATTGTTTATTCTGTTGTTCATGTTGCTGTTATTTTGCTCTTTTTGTTGAAATAAACACTTCCAAATGCGTTTCAGCAAGCAGTCGAGCAAAAAATCGGCAAGAAGCGCGAGCAAAAAACGTAAGGCGTGCCCTTGTCTGATTTTTTTGTTGATCAATTATTATTATCCATAAAAAATTGAAATAACCAATAGAAAACTACATTGGAGTATCACTTTACTATCCAATTGATTGTACTGTTCGCTAAAGGGTGCCCCGCCACTTAAACGTGGATCCGCTACCGTAACCCAAAATTGCCAGTTTCGGGCTATTATTTTTCAACGCCAGTGTCTAGGAGCCACGTAGAGCCTTTTTTTAGCTAATCCGCAACGTCAGCATGTCAAACTCCTCGACCGAATGCCGTCGGTATGGTGCAACCGTTGCTTCAATCAGAAATGCGAACGAGAACAAGGACCTTTTAGGTTCATTGCGCTGACTTGTCAAAATATTCTGTTTCAGAGTTTGCCATCCATGCTCAAGTCAAACAGAAGAAGCGTTTTTCCTGGGGGCCAAGATGGTAACGTATTTTGACAGCCTTACAAATAAGCCGATTTGAGACCGGAAAGGGCCCATTGGAATTCAAGTGGATCGATGGGAAACCTGTTAATTATACGAATTGGGCTCGCAAGGAGCCGAACGACCACAAAGACCAGGGTGAGACATGTATTGAGGTAAGTTCGAATCATTTCAAAACTATCATTTCAAGTACGGTGCTTGTTCATAATTATGAAAAATCTACGACGCAATTCAGATGTACGTTCGTTACTGGAGGTTTGACAAGACAAAGAGTCTGGAGCAGAATATGGAAACCACCGGCGCCGGGAAATGGAATGATCTGAAGTGCAATTGGAGTCCGAGGGCTTTTGCGTGTCGTAAGGACCAGGTTACCTTTGTATTCGCTGGGAATTTCAAAGTTTTGTTTAGGCAAACCCACTAGCGGGGCCTAGCAAGGACCCTCCAGCGGGCACGACCGGAAGCACATTGAGTACCACCGCGACTACCACCAAAAGAGTGCCCAAGGTGAGAAGGCTTCATCGCAAAGCTTGAATTGTCCGTGCTGTTGAAAAGGCTCTTTTCCCCGACCAAGTTCGGGTATGATAAAAGCGCTTACGATTTAATGAATTCACAGTCTATCCTTGATGCGTCTAATTTTTACCTGTTCCCCCGGAAATTTTCCGGAAGCGCGTTTTAGGAAACAAACTGACAAGCTTCAAACCAGACTAGAAAGTTTGAAGCTTAAGGTTTTTCAATTGTTGAGTCACATTTTTTATTTTTAGCCAACTTGTGGTGATGCCGCATGGAAGCTCCGTGAAAAAACTTCCAAGTGCTACGCGGTAGAAAAACGCAGAACAGTCTAACTGCCCTTTTGCTCAGATCCTAAACGAGGCCACTGACTTCGACAAGGCTCTGTTGAGGTGCGAGGCGATGAATGGCACGTTGGCCTCGGTACATTCTGAGGATGAAAATAATTATATTCGAGGTATTTGTCATCAGGAGAGGGTATATTAATCATTATTTCAGACGAAACCACATGGGTGCTCAACGAGACGAATCTGTTTTGGCTAGGCGCTCGGAGGGTTTGTGGATACCCGATGCCAAACCTTTTTCCGAATAGAACAGCGGTACCGTCGGTGATTTTTCCTGGCTTGACGATTCGCCAATGAATTATACTAAATGGAGCAAAGACCTCGACAACCTGGATGGCAGGGAGAGCTGTTTAGAGGTGAAGCTTCTGCTCTGGTCTCCACTTATTCTCACCTTTTAGCTACGTGTAACGCGCGAGTGGAACGACCGGCCGTGTGATACCAAGAATCGCGGAATCTGCCAGAAAGCTCCAATTTGGGTGTAGCACTGCTATAAAAGCCTTGATTTGCTACAAATTTGCATAAAAAAGACCATTCTTTTGGCGCTCTAGATCACCACCGAATTTTCCTGCCCAAATTTTCGCGGGATGCAAAGGATACCGTGGGCAAAAGTGGAAAACTCAAGACCGTTTTCCCAGGCAGCATGATTAATGGAGCAAGGTAAACGAGAAGCCACCACCAAAAAATGATAAATTACGGGAATATGGTCCTACCAAGAAAGTGTTCGCACGCAAAATAGCACCCAACGTCGATAGACCGCAAATCGCTGAAGCCGCAATAAATAGGCCTCGGAATCCACATGGCTATTTGCAAATATGGGCCTAAAAATCATTCTGCCGATATTCTGGTCAATCGGTTGGAGTTAACCAGTATTTTGCTCACAAATTTAGGTTTGGTTATCGGCATTCAAGTCTGCCCGCAGTCGGCTTGCCCAAGTGGCGGTAATGGCGCCTGGACCGAGTGGAAGATCGTATCCACCTGTACTGCTACTTGTGGAATGAATGGGCTTCGTGTCGAGACGCGCGAATGCGTTTCTGAGAAGTTCGGATGTCCATGCAAGTAAAGACTCTTTAGTATTACTTTTAAGGAGTATACAGGGAGTTCGGGGCGCCCGGCCGCTGCACGCGCCTCGGGCGCCCCGGTTTCGAAACCCTGTACGAGTCCGCACCCATCCGAAGCGGCTAGTGCCCCGGGTGGTACGAAGCCTTTTGCTAGTCGCAGACCGGACGAAGTAGCAATCACCTTCCCTCCAAATCGAGTGATTCCTATTGCAAAACCATCTTGATGTTGTTTCTTAACGAAATTCGGACTCAACGAGAAAAATGGCATTTGCGAGTAGTTGAAATTAGGTATGTCGCGGCGCAAGTGACGCGGCGCAAGTCTGAAGACGGTTGCGCGCTCGCAATGTCAAAGGGGTTTCGAATGGTATAACTATCATTCCGACCTGACCTTTCTCCGGCGAATTAGAGTACGGTGCTTTTTTATTGGGACCACTGATTTTAAAAGACTGTAACCAAAAATTAGGCGCACTTACATTTAGCGGCGCCAAATCCCGTACCGTCGCCTGCCCTGACGCAATGTGCACTTTTCCCAACGTCACTTGCGGTGATGGATTTGTGAAGGTGACTTTTAACTTCGACACACCGGTATTTTATATTTTAGAAACTAAACACAACGAGCAGGGTCTACACTTGCCAGTCGCCCAACACCGCTGTGCAAGACATCGCCAACCCGAACTTTAGTTGCAACAGTCAGTATCGACTGTATTACTAACTATCCCAATTTAGTGACCGAAACCATCGATTGTCCGAGAGTTCCGGCAGCTGGTTAGTTTGGCACAGGAAAACGATCAGCAAGTGGCGTTTAGGAATTTGGTCCGGATGGACAAACGTGGCAGGAGCGTCGTGCACGGAGACTTGCGGAAGAAAGGGCACAATCCCACAGATACGCACTTGCTTGACGTCTGTGATCAAACCATGCACGTAAGCCCCCTATCGGCCCATTGTAATAGCATACTAATGCTGTCCTCAGTGGCAATGCTACTAGAACGGCAAGATGTCCGCAACAACCTTGTCCTGATGGGAGTTGTGTCTTGAATCAACCCACGGTATGAGTCGAGCTAGTCTTTTAAAGGGGCTCAGAAGTCAAAATTCGCGCGTGCGGGGTGTCCACCTACTGGTCAAAAGCGAAAAGGTTGCTGTCGAAAAGTACCAGAAAGGTGATTTTCCTGCGAAAAAAAAACATGAAATATTTGAGTAACATCGAAATGTTTTCGGGGCGAAAACGGCATTCTGAGTGCGCGGCGATTACATGTCGTAATGCCTTGTAAGGCGCCCAATCTCTCGATCTCGGTGATTCACTGATCACTTTTCATAATTAAAAAGTCTAGAATGATCGAAATTCGATAAGGATTACAGAAATCCGGTCTGAATTTTGAAATTCAAGCGCTTAACGTCGAAACAGGAGCAAAGGATTATGCGGCGCGGTCGCGCTGCGGAGGTATCTGGCTATTTGCCAGGCATCAACGCAGGGGGCAGGGGACCTGATTTCGGAGCTCCTTTAATGATCATGTTCCTTAGCGAATCACTAGACAAAACTATTTTAGGTGAAGTTCATGGTTGGCGGAGAACAATTGGTGCGTTGTGGATATGAGGTGCCGGAAGAAGAGACCCCATGCTTTCCAGCTGGATGTAACATTGGTTGGTCTCTACTCTTCCCCCGAAGTTCGATCCTAATTAGAAGAATTACCAATCTATTAGGTTGGACCGAAAGTAACTGCAGACGACCTGCAGACCCCTTTTTCTCAATAATTCCGCCAGATGGCCGCCCGGTTCTCAACCCCCTTATGTAGTCTAGAAGGGTACTATCTACCCCAAAAATATCGAAAAAATCCTGACTCTATAACTTTTTTTATAAATGATTTTCCGTGAGACCCCGATCGACCCCGGGCGGCGACATCCTGTACCTCTCTTCCTTTCCAGCCTTATAAAAATTCTTAATGTCGGAATTACCGAATCATAATTTGTAACAGCAAATGCCAGTTCAATATCTTCCTAGCTATGGGGCTCAATTGACCCTGCGGATTTAGAGTCAGCCGCTATTTGCAATAGTTTGGATCAAAATCCGAATTTTCGATGTGTTTAGCGAAAAGGCTTTCACCAATTTATTGAGGACAACCAAATTAAATCTGATCCATCTATCATGAGCAACATTTTGCGACCAACATTGTACAACTATCAACTATTTACCTTCCTTCTTTATTTAAGGAAATTTTGCAAATTATTGGGAGCACCAAGTGATCGACTTTGAGATGAGACAGCGACACCGAATTTCCGTTCCAATTCTCGAACCCTTGACAATCAAATTTTCTTCTTAATGCAATTTAATTGCGCATCGGCAGTACATACTGTGCTAAAATTATCAATGATCTAAACCCAATCTTCCGCGAAGAAAAAAATAAAATAAAAATTTGCCCAAAATTCCGGGTTTGCTCTCATTTCTAGACCAGCATGGAACAATTGTTCCTAGGCAGTCTGCGTACGTAAGGCAGCTATAGCTAAGTTCCATTTTGATATATTCCACTCAAAAAATTGTCCACTAAATTCGGAGGAAACGACCGACAAATGAATTTGTCGATTCCGAGCCCAAAAACCGAATTTGACATCTTTCGACAATGACTTGGGAAAAAATCATGCTGCTAGGCATTAACATTTTATATAATACGCTGTATAGCCACAAGACTTGTCTATCCACTGTCAATTATTTGGAGCGCTAGAGCTTATATGGACAGAGATATCGTTCGTAGAACTCAAAAACTCGAAAATCGAGTCGCACGCATCCTTTGCCCGAGAATTGAAAAACTTGTGGAAGGTTCGGCTTGAAACTTTTACTGAAACAAGACAACCCTTGACCCTCTAGCATCGCAAAATCTTGAAATGAATGAATGGATGCTTCCATAAAATTTTGGTCGCCGAAAAACTGCAGTTACTTTCGGTCCAACCTAATAGATCGCCTTTTTCTCAGCACCAAGTTCACAAAACTTCTTGCTCATATACCTATCCAAAGAGCTACACATTTCAAGAGCCGGGCTTTAGCTACAACTACAACGACGACTACGACGACTACGACGACTACGACGACTACGACGACTACGACGACTACGACGACTACGACGACAACTACGACAACCACACCGGTAAAGGAAATCAGTAGTTTCCAAATTACGCAATCTATCTAGCATTTGCTCGATTTGCGGTAACCTGAGCACTGCACGTCCAAAATTCTCGGCAATAAGGCTCTAGGCAACGCGGCGCTCCTATCCACTCAAAAATTCATGCGGCCAAAACTTCTAATCCTTATAACTTTCAAAGTAAAGCGAAGCTTAAAAAAGCTCGTTCCAAGTTGGTAGAATGGACCACGGCGATTTTAATGATACCAAGGACTAAGAAAACTGGCGTCCGGGGCCTACCCCGGAAAGCTACAACGCCGAAATAATTTGCGTAATTTTCATGGGAAATCCGAATGAAAACTGGCATTTTCCGGGAAAACAATGCCTTTGATTGTTTCAGATAGACGAGTTCAGGGCACTGACTTTTCGGGGTGGTGACTCTAGTGGATGCACCCCTGCTAACTTTTTGGCGCGGTCACACCCGCCTCTTTTGACCTTTTGCCCCCCCGGCAAATTGCCGTCTTTCGCCCCTTTGATTGGCAGTGATTCGCAACTTGCAACTTTTTTGTAACTTGATGCCAAATTTTAGCCTTGCCCGGATGGCTGGACCTTGACTTGGTTCTCCTGCTGGAAGGTTTGCGACAAAGACGCATATTCTGTATTATTTTTAGCTACTTGACAAACTGTATACATTCGCTGAGGCAAAAGCTCAGTGTGAAAGTATCAACGCTCACCTGCCGATCACAACCGTGCAGTGGGATGCCGATGATTTATACGGTATGACACTGGAATTGAACCTAATCGATCGGGATGTCAAAAAGGGCTTTTTTTCTGGCAGACTGACAATTCAGGTGCGGCCGGATGCTTAAAACTCTCACCGTTTTGGAGGCGCGGGGGGGGTTGCTGCCAAAAGTCTTGGCCCGATTTCTTCCACATACTGCGCATTTCCGAACAATCGTCTGCAGGCCGGAAACGTACCACGGGAAGATTCTCTAACAATCGCCTTTTAAGATTATTTCTGGGATGCTTTGCCGGCCGGAACATGGTACACTGCAAGCGGAGAAATCGTGGACCAATTTAGTTGGCTGGGAGCCAGCAGGGTTTGTTGTGTCGAATCGCTACTCTTTTGCTGGAACAGTCCGTCTTTTGCCTTCATTTTCTCAGTTAAGGGGAGGTGCATGAATGGTGCAGTAGAATGGGAACAACGGCTACGGTTTTTTTCACGCCATTCGATAGAACATCGAAAAATATACTAAGAGTTTCTATAGCAGCTGAAAAAAATTGTAATATAAAATAGTTATAGCCAAAACAAGAACAGCCTCTAAAAATGGGGTAAAAAAGAGTTTTCGATATTTGCGCTTTTTGTACGACATTTTCGATACTCCATTCGATACAGCCTCAGAAAATAAACTACGAGTTTTGATTTCAGTCCAAAATAATTCATTATAAAATAGTTACAGCAAAAACATGATTTAAACGCGATTTCCCCCCATAGGAAGAGGAGGAGCAAAGCTAGTTTTCGATATTTTCGAGATTTTTCAAAAATTTCTTTAACTCCACTCGATAGAGCATCATAAATATACTAAGGGTTTTAGTTACAACCCAATATAATGTAAAATAAAATACAGGGTGTCCCAAAAAAAAACCCCTTCCTCGGCATTTGGCCGTTTTCCATCCAATCGAGACCAAATTTTTACCAGTGATGGGGACCCATAAAAACTATGTGCAGCCGAATTTTCTAAACAAAATATTGTAAAACAAAGAAGGTATATCAAAATTAAGGTTTATTTTGCCGATTTCATTAGGATTTTGACGAATTTCGGCCTCGAAATGCTTAGCAAAAATGAAGAGGGCACTCTTCTCTACCTGTAGAAATTTTTTGATTTACGAAAATTACGTTTAAAGTGGGCCTTTTGATCATTTTTTATTATCGAAATTGCCAGAAACTGACCGAGAAATGACCATTTTTTGGAAAATTACTCAAAATCCGCATGCTAATTGCGAAAAGATAGCCAAAAACGAGTACCAGCGTTTTCCAAAAATCAGTTTTTTAGCGATAACTTTTTGGTTTTACAATATTTTGCTTAGAAAATTTAGCTGCACATAGTTTTTATGGGTCCCCATCACCGGTAGAAGTTTGGCCCCGATCCGATAGAAGACGGCCAAATGCCGAGGGGGGTTTTTTTTGGGACACCCTGTAGTTATGGCAAAAACAAGCTAAATTCGAACAACCGCTCAAACACTATTTTAATCGTATAAATTTTACTATTGATCTTTTTGCAATTCCCGGTCAGGAGATAGTAGCTGGGACCTAGGGCTACCGATTCGTGGCCTTAAAAAAATTTTTGGGACTTTCCGACTGGGGGGAGCGTAAACTCTTTCCGGGACAACCTGTCTCAGCGCCAGCTCAACGGCTTATTTCAGACGGGTGATGGGGATCTTGGATTTTCCTGGGTCGACGGCTCGCCGCTGAGTCATTCGTACGACACGGCGGAAAACGGGACCGGAGATTGCATGGCGGTAGGCTGCCCCAGCTTTGTACAATTTTTGCAGATGCACTATAACTACCATTGGATCCAGTTGCAATGCGATGTTCCACGCTGGTCAATTTGCCAACAAACCCGAACCGTTCCCGGATTAAAAATTCGATAAATGTCAGCGATCGCGCTGCATACACTTTCATGACAAGATCTCACACAAGGTAGAAGGTTTGTGACTCCGGGCGATTTTTTTTGCTGATAAGCTTGGCTGATTTAGAATTGGCGAGCTGAAATGCATACAGCTGTCTCACTGTACTAGCGGGCTTCCCTGATACCTCACTATGTATTTCGCTCTCATTTTGTGCATACGAGTTGCGTATCGCATCGCACTCTTCTCCCTACACATAATTCCTGGTTTTGTGAGCACCGACTTTCATGTTCGGCCCTATTTCACACATCAAAAGGCGGCAATCATGTTATACTCGACTTTCCCATGTGTGATGGCGCCAGTTTTATCGACACGCCGCCTAAGACTTATAAAAGGATTCACGGTTGAGATGTTAACTATTTTCGACGTATTTTCAAAGACATGATCGTAAAATCTGTTGTACTGCTCTTTGCGCTGAGTATTGTAACCCTAGGACAAGGTCAGGTAAGTCCGCATTGGCTTCCCCAGTTTCCATGCATTTTTTTGTGTAGTGTAACGGTACTTCAGTTGCCCAATTGCCGAAGTCAGCCCAAAATTTTTAGTTCAACTGTGACGATGGTTGGACGTTAGGACGCGAGACGACCAAATGTTATCAGGTTAAAAAGCCCTGTGGTCGTTACGGCAAATGTAGATCCTGACTCACAACTTGACATTTGATGGCGCTACTTCGGCTTGTCAAAAACTTGACTCAAAACTGGCGACCGTTGAAAGTGCTGCCGAGAATCAGGCAATCTATGGTGGGCCAGACAAATTGCGAAAATATATGTAAAAACTTTTTAGATCTCTGGCGTACTAAACACCGTTATTTTGGACCATATATTAATGGCGTTCGGGTAAGTTAACGACATCGCGGTTCTTTAGGATTCGTGGGGGGGGGAACCAAATTTTTTTCCTGGCGGTCCCGGTTGATCTAGTACTCAAATATAAAGGGTTTTCAAATTGTTCTTTAAGTCTACAATTATATTTAAAGTAGCAAAAACTTTCAAAAAAAACGTTTTTAAAATGTTTGAAAAAGTCGAAAATTTGGCCATTTTGGGTCCTTCCCCCTAACATCCTAAAGGTTCTACAGGATGGTTTAACCTAAACTTAATTTTTTTAATTAAAATTTGTGTAGGTTTGATGATTATGAAGAGCTGAATACTATATGGAAACGCATCCGCTATTGATAAAAAAATTTAGGCTTGTGCCGAAAAAAATTTCCTCCCCCCCGCGAATCCTAAAGAACCGCTATCTATACAGCAAAACTCAGAACGCGTCTTTGAACGACTCTTGTTAGACTGGATTCGGCCAACTCGACTTTGCCTGGGCTGACGGGACTTGGATGGATTATACAAATTACGATAATGCGGCCATGAATGACTACGGCCATGCGGAAAACTGTTTGGAAGTGGGTGCAAACAGATACTTTATGCTTTGAATTTAAGCTGAAGTTACTTTGGAAGACCGTTAAAAGCTTTATTCTCAATTTTTTTCAGATGCTTGGAAGCGGGCGATGGAACGATTTGCCTTGTGGTTCACCCCGTAGTGTCGCCTGCGAGAAAGCGGCCAATCCTGATCAGTTCAATATTGATTTAATGTAACAACCTAATAAACCGTGTGGATCCGTTTCAAATAAGTTTCATGCAACATTTAGCCGATCAGAACGCCCTGCAAGGAAAAAACTTAAACGAAAAATTCTGCTCTTTCCCGGTGTTTTTTGACGAAAAATTCAAAATCCAGAGCCTGGAGTGCCTGAATTTTTATGGTAAACGGCGAGGAGAAGCCTTTGAAGCCCGTTTCTGCATGAAAACTACAAAGCAGGGTATAAAGAGAAGATGGGAGGCTGGGTGTATCTAATTTCCGGGGCCGCACCTGCAGGAGATGATCGGGGCAGTCGGCATATTTTTGTTGGCCCTATGCGGTACGGGAGCTGGTTTACAGAACTGTCGGAACGGAGATTGTGATGCGGTAAGTTTTCTGCGCTGAAACTTTGGAATTAAATAATATATTGTAGCTGACCTGTGATGCTGATTGGAGGGCCTTAAACCGAACGCGAAGCTGTTTTAAGGTTTCCTGAAGCTAAAGTAATACTTGAATTTCTCAAGATGATCCGAAACGTTCCCATCTCAAAAGCTGTAGAGGAATGTAAGCGATATGGCGCAACGGTGGCGTCGGCGGTCAATGAGGACGAAAATAAGGATATTCTAGGTAGGACATCGCGAAAAAACCATAGCTTCGACAACTTTAGAATTCGCGATCATGTCCCAGGTGAAGAAGAACGAGGCATTCTTTTTGGGAGCTAAAAAGGCAAGGTTAGATGGTTTTTATAGACTTAAGTGGCTTAGAACAGCAAGGGTCCGTTGGGTTTTAAGTGGCTCGATGGGAAACCGTCCAAATACACCAACTGGGATCGCAGGGAGCCGACCGACGAACATCAGGGCAAAGATGAGGATTGCATTGAGGTGCCGGTTATAAGAGCTTTCAGAAGCTGCTTTTGTTCTAATGACTATGATCAAAGATATAAAAAGTCAAAGCCTTGCCATGAGATGGTAAAGCGGGCAAGAATCCAGATACCCCCCAGACGCCCCCAACTTTTGTCTCTCGGCTCCCTGTAATCTACAGGTGTGTTAAATATACCCAAATGTTCGTCTTGCTCTGGCGAGCATTTTGGTATACTTTACACACCTGTAAACCAACAGGGAGCCGAGATACAAAAGTTGGGGACCGGCTGGGCGGGGGGGGGCATCTGCAGTTCAGCTCAGAAAATTTTAGATGTACGTTCGTTACTGGAAATTTGATCGAACGAAGAGCCTGGAGCAAAACATGGCCGCGACGGGGGCGGGGAAATGGAATGATCTGAAGTGCGACTGGAGTCCCAGTGTGATGGCTTGTCGCAAGGAACAGGTGAGTTTTCTGCAGTCAGCTTTAGTAAATGTCTAGGCACCCGCTCTACAAGGACCAAGCAAGGAACCGTCAGAAGAGCTCCCCACCAAAAAGACCACGGTGACCACTAGCACCATCAAAACCACTACTACTACCACTACAACTACGACTACCACCACAACTGGACCGTGCGGCGCTGGGTGGACGGTCGGTCCGAATGGGTGTTACAAATATGTAGGTTGATATCTTCAACCTTTAATGTTGAAAAGTGAACGCGTTGCGCTCCATAGTCCTTCAAAGATTTTCCAAGCAATCAAACTAGCAAGACCCATTGAGGTCCCGAATGCTACGATATTCGCCTGGCACGAGGCGAACTGCGTGGGAATGGGAGGCCATCTGACGTCCATCCGTGATGCTGCCGAGAATCAATTTGTCTTCGGTATCATTGCGTCAACATTACAAAATGGGAGAAAAGAAGTAGAGAATAGGTCAATGCTCGGTAAATTTAAAACCGCTGATCTCTCATTGTTGTGTCTTGAGGTGGGGTGTAGCGCTAGAGTGGACTCGCAATTAGCGAATCGAATAAACGATAAAAGTTTATTAGATAAACCGCAGACAAGAGGTTAAGGATAAGATTAGGACGAATAATTGTGGAAAAAATCGCAGAGAGCGTGGACCTTTACGACACATAAGCGGGGGCCGCTACCGACAGCAGGGGTACGGTCATAAGGGCGTGCGATAGGCTAACGCTACCAGATTCTAGCCTTTTGCTCTGCAACACTCAAAATGGCTTTCTTTAGAACTTGCCGTCAAGTCACGGCGCGAAAGCGGAGCAATGGATGATCCAAACCGACCAGCACCTACGCTGCTCCTGGGCGGTAATCAGGTACCCAAAATATTAGAAAATATTCAGATTTTTTAGGGAAGCACTTGTGATAGTGGGTGGGTTCAGGGGCCCGGGACCAATAAATGTTACCAGGTATATTCCAGAGACTGCAACGGTGAGGATGCAGTATACTCCAGATCCCCCTCAATTTGTTAAAGATTGCCGATTTAGTTCCTGGAGGACATGCTGACTTTCACTCAAGCCGACAAACAATGCAAACAGATTGGAGCCCGAATATTGACCATCCATTCCTCGGCTGAGAATCGGTTTGCTCATGGTAGCTTTGATAGCATTTTCCTCTACATATCGATACATAGACTTCACAACACGCACTGGCCGTGCATTTGCGTGGTTGGACGCTTCCAGGGTAGTCTTCATTAGTAAATTACAACACTTCGTTAGACCACTAACGGAAAGTATGACTTTGTCTGGAACGACAATTCACCAATGGACTACACGAATTGGGACAACTTTTTGATGGATTTTGCGCGTGTTGAAGAGTATTGCCTGCAGGTACAAGGCTTTTTGATCATTTTCCAAAACCCGGATTAGCTACGGCTTGACGGCCAGTGGAATGATTATCCGTGTTGGACACCCGAGCGAACGCTTTGTCAGAAGGAGGTAGCTTTCGGGTGCTTTTCGACTCTCTGAGATTCTAGGCTTAAAGGATTCAAAGATTCCGAATACACTGATCAAATTCGCGGAATTGCTATTTTCCGAAAGTTGTAAACTATTTAAGTCAGTAAAACCATTGAAAGTTATGGGCGTATCCCGATTTTTCATTTCTTTGTAACTTCGGAAAATTGCTTTTCTGCGGGTTTAGTTGACATTTTCGAAATCCGCGTAAATCTTGCATAAGGCTGGTTCCCAAATGGAAATCCCGAAGACACTAAAAAACGTCTTCCTCTCTTCGTGAGTAAGTGCATGCGACTTTTAGTTTGGCATGGCCTGGGCCGACGGATCTCCGATGGTTTATAAAAACTTCACCGATGATGCCTCTAGAGTCGCGACGACCGGCCGGGGTTGCCTTGGGGTATGCTTAACGCATAACGGAAAAACTGTAAGCACATGTCTTTAGATGCAACTCGGCCCGGTCAACGGCATCGGGTAAATTTTATTGTTGGTTTCTTGTTTGCGGCATCGCACACGGGAAGGAAAAATCATGGCATCGCGCGACTCGTGATACAAGTCCGACCGATTTGTATCACGATTTTGTTACGGCAGTTTCCGGACAACTCTCGACACGCGCGAAAATCTCGGACGACTCACGCACGCGTCTCGCGAGAAGGTACCGCCTCGTTCGAGACTCGCGCGCGAGTTGTCGCGAGTTTTCTTTCCCGCGCAGGCTCAAGTTCTCAGGCTAATTATCTCTCAAGTTTATAGAATCGGTCGCTTCCATAGCATGGTTTAGTTTTCGCAAAAAAAGCCTTGGTACTCGGGAATTAGGTACACGCTAAATCTTCGCTTTAATGTTTCAAACATCTAGCGACCCCTAGGGTTTTTAGCGCCGTTTTTGACAATTGCATGGAGACTCAACTGGACCGATTATAAAATTCTAAAACGACAGTTGGTTTCAGTTCCAACTTTGCCGGGAGGTGGAACGAGAACTCGTGTAACAATGCTTTTGATGGGGCGATCTGCCGGAAGACTACCAAGCTTTGAGACTGCTCGGAATAAAGGAATTTTTGTATCATCGTAATAGCTGTTTGAGGAATCAGCGCTGACAAGGAAACCTTTTTGGGCCTCGGTGGGATTTCGAAACGGCACTTAGCCTATCTTGGGCAGAACTTTTCGCTGATCCCAAATCTATGTTCAAGAACTGCGAAATAGCCGCGTTCAAAAGCGTTAAACGTGACAATTTTTGGCTGATGAATTTCGTGGACAGACTGTGGACTGGGACAAATGCCGTTCGGATCCACCCCGAGAACCTATCTTTGTTCTGTTTTGTCGCATAACTGGCTTTGTGGGTTAGATGTTTTCGAAAACCATTGTTCATTACGAAGTGGAATGCAGCTTCTTCTTCTCGCAAACGCCGACTTGTTCTTGGGCTTCGCAGGAGACATCGTTCCAGATGCTGGCGATGCCAAAGGCGTCTCCGATAAAGAGCTGGAAGATAAAGATAAATTTTTAAGGCCGGAAAATCGAGTGTGTAGCCAGACCTCGTACCTCTAGACAATCTTCAGTTTCCCCAATATAAGGCTGATGTATGTTGTTGTAGGTGAGGTTGGTGCCATCGAGCCAGCGAAAATCGAGCTTGCCTTTCCCGAACTTTAAAGATGTAATGCTGATGACATCCGTGAAAAAATACCCGGCGAGCTCCGAGGAAGCATTTAACAGTTGCATTGTAGTTGGTTTGCCAGAGATCTGAAAACCTGGAGCTCGCCGTTTCGCAAAAACGGTCACCAATCAGAGCCTGATTCTCGGCAGCCGAACGAATCATTGCCACCGACGCGTCCATTTTCCCGCATTGTGCTATCGATTGGTTCAGGGTGCTTTGGCTTAGGAACTACAATCGATACATTTCAGGCGCTATTCCAGCACCACCTTGTAGCATTTTTCCGTCGTATTCGTCCACAGCCATCCAGCTTCGCAAGGAGGACCCTGAAGCTTAAAGTTAACGGGCTCCTCACATCTACTGGAAAAAATTTAGCTGAGATCCTGAAAAAACGAGTAAATGACTGCCCAAAATCTAGCCCTTTGTCGGCCGAATTAACTTATTAAAGCGATAAGGACGGCATAAGCCAATCGATTACGCGCGGAAAAGAAAATGTCTCTGCGCCTCTCCGCTAGGCGCCCTCTCTCGCCGCTGGATCTGTTGAACCCCCTCCCAAGAAGGGGTTAAAGGGGCGCCGACGTGCCAAATATAGGCCCTTTTGGAAGGGGCCTTATATTTTTGAGAAATGGCCTGCGGCCGCAGCGGGTGGAGAGAGACTCTGGCGCTTCCGATATTTGCGCGATTTCTTTATGAAAACACTATAATTCGCATATTGCCAGAAATATAAGACGCCTCCCAAAAGAGCTTACATTTGGCAGTTCCGCGCCCCTTTAAAAACCAAATCTAGTGAGGATTTCAGCGAAGACCTCAGTATCTGCGGAATATAGCGTTGGCACAAAAAAATCGGAGAGATTCGCGCAAAATACGAAGGAGTGAGGGCCATCGTCGCGCCGTATGCTAATAATTTGCCAGAAATCACTGTCACTTCGGTGCTTGTATAAGATGATCTTACGAAAGTGTATTCCTACCTTTGGCTTGCTCACAGTTGTGATAACGCTCGGCTCTTCTGGGGGATATTTACTGGGTCCCTGGATTTCGGGACGCTATGTCAAATGTTTTGGCTCTTCGAATAGCGATGTCACCTTACCTGGTCCTTACGACACGCGAAAACTCTCGGACTCCAGCCGCACGTCAGATCGTTCCACTTCCCGGCGTCAGTCGCTTCCATATTCTGCTCCAAACTTTTCGTTGGGTCGAACTTCCAGTACCGCACGAACATCTAAATGAAGGTATCCTCGGATCCTTCTCTGGTCATTTTCGAATAGCTTTGAAATTCCTACCTCAATGCATTCTTCCGATTTTCCATTGTGTTTGTCGCTCGGCTCTCCCTTCTTCCAGTTCGTATAGTTGAACCTTTTCCCATCAATCCATTCAAATCCCAAAGGCCCGCTGCCCTTCTAAAACAGGACCTACGCCGGCGCCTATTTACGTATAAGTCTTTCTTGCGCCCAGTTAGCTCTTTGCTTCACTTCAAAATCGATAAATGAGGTACCTTCTTGGCGCCGAGGAAGTAGGCCTCACTTTTCTTCACTTGGGAAATAATTCCGAATTCTGAAGATGCTGTAACGATACTGAAAGAGGATATACCTAGGATATCCTTATTTTCCTCCGCGTTCCCGACCGAAGCCACCGTTGCACCGTAGAGTCCGCATTCTGCATTCGCTTTCGAGATATCGACATTTCTGATCAGCTAGAAAAAGACAGAGCAGCTGGATCTAGCTCTCTAGTCGTATGGATACCTTGAAACAGCTCCTCGTCCGGTTCAGCGCAGTCCATCCCGCTTCACAAGTTAGCTAATAAACATTTTCACATGCGTTTTTAAGGAAACCCTTGGCCACAGTCCGCCATGAAAACTTACCGCATCGCATGCCCCATGTCGGCAATCCGGCACAGTGGATACGGTAGTCGCTAGGAACAGCAGAAATATGCCGAACTTTTCGACCATCTCCGAACGATGGACGAAGAATATCCAATGCATGGGCGGCGAGTTGTTTTATAAGCATCGCCTTGCAAATTTTATGCGGTCAAAAACCTATACCAATTGAGTATTTTTTAACATATATCAATTGATACAAATATAGTTTTAGTTGAGTCTTTAACGAAATTTAGCGGATCAGAAGGGCAAGAAAGGAAAAAACTTGAACGCAAAATTTTTGATCCTACTGTGACCAATAAAGTTAAACCCAAAACCTGGTGTCTGAATTCTATGCTAAACGTCTAGGTCTTTGACCGTTTATTCATGAAAACCAGAAAAAAAGCGCGTATAAAAGTAGAATTGGAGGGCTGGGTGTATCTTATTTCCGGGGCCACACCTGCAGCAGATGGTCGCGAAGCTCGGCATATATTTGCTGGCCCTATGCGGTACGGTAGCTGCGCTACCGGAATGTCGGAGAGGAGAGTGCGACTCGGTAAGTTTTGAGAGCGCTGAAACTTTGGAAACAAATGAATATTATATCTTTAGCTGACCTGTCAAGATGGATGGTTGGCCCTGAACAGAACGCGAAGCTGTTTTAAGGTATCTAAAAGTGCACAGTAATACCTAAATTCCTGAAGATGATCCGAAACGTGGACATCTCAAAAGCTGTAGACGAATGTAAACGATATGGCGCTACAATAGCGTCGGCGGTAAATGCGGACGAAAATAAGGATATTCTTGGTATCGGGCCCCTCAAAAGCTACCACTTTGTAATTTTCAGAATTCGCAATCATGTCTCAGGTGCAAAAGAATGAGGCACTCTTTTTGGGAGCGAAAAAGGTACGAAGGAATGAAAGTAAAGATAGATGGTGTTTCAGACCGGCAAAGGACCGTCGGGTTTCAAGTGGCTTGACGGGAAACCCTCCAACTTCACCAACTGGGATCGCAGAGAGCCGAGTGATAATCATCAGGGCAAAAATGAGGATTGCATCGAGGTACTGACTTTACCACAGGCATCCGTGCATTTTAAAAGAGAAAATGTGAAACCGGAATGCTATACAAAAAAAACCCGAGGGAGAGCAAGTCCATCAAGTTCACAAGGGTACCGAAGGTCAACGTGGCGCTTCTAAATTGGTCCCAGCCTATCCCGTGCAGAATAGAGAAGAGACAGGGCAGAGAGCTTTCCGCGAGAGGGGATGTCGGCAGGAAATCGCCCCGCGCGGAGAAAATTATGTCATTTCTCGGATTCTTCAATTTAATTATTCAAAATTAACCTCTATCGTTTTGGAGAAATGGAAAACGGATCTTGCTCAGTTTTTAACCGCTTTCGAATGAGCTAGGCCTCGTCCCAAAACTCCATTTGCACCGAAAAACGTTCATGCTTGCTACTACTGGATACTTGCTACATGCGTGCATACTGGATTCATGCGTAGTCTGTGCTCGCCGAGCTGGCCAAGGACGGAAATTTATAGATGTACGTTCGATACTGGAAGTTTGACCCAACAAAGAGCCTGGAGCAAAACATGGCCGCGACCGGGGCCGGAAAATGGAACGACCTGAAGTGTGACTGGAGCCCGAAGGTGATGGCGTGTCGCAAAGACCAGGTAGGCCATCCGCAGCGAGATTTAGTAGATGTCTAGACGCCCGTTCTACAAGCGCCAAGCAAGGATACGCCACCGGAGCTCACGACCAGAAAGACCACTGTTACCACCACAACATCTACCAAGGTTACCACTACCACCACCACAACCACCAAGGCTACCACCACCACCGTACTGAAAGTGTGCGGCTATGGGTGGTCGGTCGGGCCGCATGGATGCTATAAATATGTGAGTTTTGAATCGAGCGGCGATCGCCCAGCCTAAGCCAGGCCTAACCTCTAATCTTGCGCGCAATCTTTAGGCTAAGCCTAACCCGAAAAACGTAATCCTCGGCATCAAAAACTCAGCCAAAAAACCAAAGGGCGTCCCAAAAAATCGATTATGGCCCCCCTTCCAATTTTGACGACTTATGTATCTAACGAAAGCCTAACCAAACCAATTATCTAACCATGAAAACTGCAGATTTAGTGCAAAATCATGCTAACAGGGTGGCGCTGTTTTTACGTGTAAAAGAAAAGAGCTTGTTTTCCACCGTTTCGAGGGCTGTCGAATGGTGCGGAAATCACCCCGATCCGACCTTTCCCGAGACCGCTAGAGGGGGGTAGTTTGCTTTGGGACACGCTGTATTTAAGTCCCTTTGTTGTTTTTAAAGAGTCGGCTGATTAGGGTGGTTCTAGGTTCTTGCTTACCAGCCGGATTTTCAAAAAATGTATGACATAAGTTACGAGAGTAAAATGTTCAGCCGTTTTCCGTATTAACTTTGTTCTTGTTACGACAATTTTAGAGCAAAATATTTTAAACAAGCAACATTTTCAGATAAAATGTAAAACCATAGTATGTTTTTCCGACTGGGGGAGGGCTTTAGCTATCTCATTTAGGACGGTACGCTAGGCAGCTACGACAATCGTTTGGCATACTGTCGTGGTTTGAACAGTTATCCGACTTCCGTCATTGACAGCGAGGAAAATCGATTTGTTACTGGTAAAATTTATATGAGCCCGAATGACATGGGTGAGCGGTTGCACTAGCATTTCTCTACGATTTCAAAACTTCAGACTTGGCACGCCGCGGCGGGGCCCCCTTACATTTCTGGACCGGCGCCTACCTGGTGAGCCAGTTAGATTTGAGGATTTACTATTGCCTATTGTCAAAACGAAGTTTACCTCCGATCAACCCGTTTGCAGTCTAGCAACCATAAAATCACTTGGGAGGATGGCGAGCGGAACAATACATACTCGAACTGGACCCCGAGATTATGGGGCGCCATCGGAGACGAATACGTTAAGCCGAATCACATTGACACCGACCACTGCATTGAGGTGGGGTAGGCGCTGGGGAAGGAAACTTAAAGGGCTGGAGAAAGATGGCCAGGCGTCCGTTGGGGTGACGGACCGACGTGACGCTACTGTCGACGTAATTCGTATTCCGAAATCGTAATTTTCATGTATAGTCAAATTTCGGCGCAGGCGAAAGCGAGAAAACCGGGAACGACCGCTGCAACCACCCTAGGGTATTTGATGGCTTTTCGTCGCCCTGGCTCGGTTGGCGCCATGGTGTACTGGTTAGCACGCTGGGCTGTGGGGTGACCACCGCTGGTTCGATGCCGCTGCAAAAACCGCTGCAAAATTCTTTGCTTTTTCGCCAAATGCATCTTTCTTGGGCCCTTTAAAAAGAGAACGATGGCATAAGTAATCGGTGACGCCAGGGAAAGCTAATGTCTTTGTGTCTCGCCCCTCGGCACGATCTCTGCCCTGCTGTATATTTGCCAAAAAGTCGATCAGGAGTGTTCGACCTATAACGTCGGTATCCCTTTATAGGGGCCCAGAACTGTCAAATCAAAGCACTGTTGCGGGGGCTCTTGGCGTTCTGAGAAATTGCCAGTCGCCAGACGAGAACCCTCCGTGCGCGTAAACGTTTTTGCTTGCTTTCTTGTGTCAAAACCCTATAATTCGGGGATTCTAAGCTCATTTCTAAAATCCTCACTAGATTTTAACTGGTTTTGGTGTTTTAATCATCGAGTTTGTTCCAGAAACAGCCGAGAGCGTGATTTGGGGGGTGACGACAGGGAATTTCAAATTCATGCGCTTCCCGCTCCCTGAGGTCACAGCGGCCCGGCTCCTAATAAAACGTCCGGTAGCTTTGGTAAGGAGGGAAGACCGCAACGCGTGCGCTAGACGCATCGCGCAGTTGCGAAAGCAGGCCTGCGCAGCTAAAAACTGGTTTCTATTCCGCGCACCCGCCTGCAACGCGCGAAAAACACGTACGGTTTGCCCTTTCCCTCAACCATCTGGACCGAAGCCATGGGCGGTTGTGTGGTGTGCAAAGGCCGTTGAGGTACAGGGCTCGGGTTTTCGGGCCGTAACCTAATTTTTGGGAGTTCGGAGCCCCTTTAATAGAAGGATTTACCCCTGGAAACCACGATGACTGACAATGTTATACGAGCCTGGCCAATTAACCTTTTTAGATCATGACATTCCGGAACGGGAACGGGTGGGACAACACATATGAATGGAACAACGACCCATGCAGCTGGGCAAAGCCTGTCGTCTGCAAGAAGCCATACGGCTATTGAGCACCGATAAATACATCTTAACTTCACCTGTAAGAATTGCGATTCGATAAACCCTGAACCGGTATATACAGGGTGTCCCAAAAAACCCCCCCCCTCTAGCGGCGCCCAGACGTGTCCGATTCTCGCCGTTTAGGTATCTATCGAAAGCTCTCGAAAAGGCGAGAAAACAAGGAGGGTTCATTTTTTATTATGTATTTTTATTGGCGAATTTTACCTCGAAATTCCATGAAAACGGCAGATTTACGCGAGATCTGCATGCTAATTGCGAAATTCCTATTGAAAAGCTGCCTGTTTTTAGAAAAACATTGAATATCGGACGAATAAGAATAAATCTTAGAAAATGAAGCCCGCTTGTTTTCTCGCCTTTTCTTTCGAATGGATAAAAATTATCCTGATCTGAGCTTCCCACGGACCGCTAGAGGGGGGTTTGGGACACCCTGTATACCGGTATATGTAGGATACGCAGCGGGTAGGGGGGGGGAGGCAACATAACTATTTTTATTTACATATTTTTTGCTACAAACAAAACTCACCGGCATGTCGCTGCAGGTCTCCCCGGATCCTTTTTTGGTAATTATTTCCTCAAAGGCATTCTTGCGATTTTCAAGGGTGCTTATCGCTGGGCTCTCCCTTCATCCAGTTTGTGTAATTGAACCGGATCGATCCATTCAAATCCAAAATTTCCACTGTCTTTCCAAAAACAAGCCCTAGGCGAGCGCCTATTTACGCATGCGTCTTTCTTTTTCCAGGGCAGGGAACTGTGTCAAATGTCAATTGTCTGGTCGTATGGATACTTTGAAGCAGCTTCACGTCCCGTGCAATGCCGTCCATCCCGCTTCGCAGGTTAGCTAAAAACAATAGGTTGTTACACACAATGGTTTAGTAAGATTTCCAGTCACCAGATCGAAAGATCGCCTGATCGAAAATCGTCGGATCGAAAAATCGCCCGATCGAAAATCACCTGATCGAAAATCGAAAATTGTCTAATCGGTAATAACTCAAAAAGTAGTTTTAACACATGTTAGAAGCCTAGAAAAGCCCAAAATTTTTGGAGTTATTTTCGATCAGACGACTTTCGATCAGGTGATTTTCGATCGGGCGATTTTCCGATCAGACGATTTTTCGATCAGGCGACTGCCAACCGTTTTGTAAGCTAAGTAGTTAGCTCTAGGCCCAAACTAAATGTCCCGATGTGCCAACTGTGTATTGCTCGCATGTCCCATTTCTAAAGTTCGGTACCGCGAATACAGTAGCCGCCAGAGCCAGCAGCAATATACCGAACTCCCGGCCACCTCCGGATGATCCGATCGCCAAGAATGTCAGTTACAGGTCAAGTTTCCTTGTTTTTCAGGCGCGCCACTTTGCAATTTTCAAAAGCTCCAGAACCCGGGGGCGTTCGGAACGGAAATGCGATACGCTCTGAATTATGCTGGAGATTCCAACGTCGACGCATGAATTTCCGAAGAAACGCGCTGGTTTTTGACCACATAAAATTTGCAAGGCGATGCTTATAAAACTCCCCGCCCATGTATTGGATATTCTTTGAGAACGGATCGACGGGAGATGGCGGAAAAGTCCGCCATATTTCTGCTGTTCCTAGCGACTACGGTATCCGCTGTACCGGATTGTCGGAATGGAGCGTGCGATGCGGTAAGTTTCGACTACAAGCGGCCAAATGATTTTTAGCTAACTTGTGAAGCGGGATGGACGGCGCTGAACCGGACGAGAAGCTGTTTCAAGGTATCCATGCGACAAGAGAGCTAGATCCAGCAGCTCTGTCCTTTTCTAGCTGATCAGAAAAATGTCGATATCTCGAAAGCGGAAGCAGAATGCGGACTCTACGGTGCAACGGTTGCTTCCGTCGGGAATGCGGAGGAAAATAAGGATATCCTAGGTATATCCTCTTTCAGTATCGTTACAGCATCTTCAGAATTCGGAATCATTGCTCAAGTGAAGAAGAATGAAGCGTATCTCCTCGGCGCCACGAAGGTAGTTAAACCTATCGCTTTGGGAGTAAAGCACACATTGGGGCACGTGCGACCCGGGCTCCTAATTACTCACAATCAGTCAGATGGAGGGAAATAGAGGCGCAGACGTAAATAGGCGCCCGCGTAGGTCCTGTTTTAGAAGGGCAGTGGTCCTCTGGGATTTGAATGGATTGATGGGAAAAGGTTCAACTACACAAATTGGAAGAAGGGAGAGCCGAGCGATAAGCACAATGGAAAAAAGGAAGAGTGCGTTGAGGTGAGAACTTCATCGGACTACTAAAATAAGTCGGGACGAATAGTTGATGGGGATTTTTTTTAGATGTTCGTGCGGTACTGGAAGTTCGACCCCAAGAAGAGTCTGGAGCAAAACATGGAAGCCACTGGCGCCGGAAAATGGAATGACCTGAGGTGTGACTGGAGCCCGAAGGTGATGGCGTGTCGCAAAGACCAGGTTGGCCATTCGCAGCGAGATTTAGTAGATGTCTAGACACTCGCTATACAATCGCCAAGCAAGGATACGCCACAGGAGATCCCTACAAGGAAGACTACGGTTACCACCGCAACAACTACCAAGGCCACAACCACCACCACTACCACCACAACCACCAGCACCACCACCACCACAACTACCAGACTACGTAACACAAAAATTTGGGAATGGTGGTAGTTTCCACAATCGTCGTGTAATAGAATCCAATGCATTTCGGTATAAGGATACAAAAGTATCCACAAAGTTTATCCGCATGTAAACCATTCGAATACGAGCACACTCATCGATGGATGGAGAAGGCTAGGTAAAGTGCTGGTCTAATTCGCTGTTCTTACTAGGAAGGTATCTGAACTCGGCATCGAACTTTGAGAAGTCATATACACCATTCGACGCGCCTTGTCGAGGGCATTCCAAATATGTAATAAAATCAACCAGAGCGTATAACCGTAAAAAGTTATGAGCATTCAAAGTCAACAAAATGGTGAAAAACAGTATCTTTGAGACCCTGTATCCTCCCGCGGAATGGAATTTAGTCTAAACTGATTAGTGCTTCTTGTTCAACAAAGAAAGCTCTTTCAAATGAACTATATTACTAACGGCTGCCAAAAATTTCCGCAAAAAAGATTTTTGGAATGCAGTGTAAGGGTAGGGTATGGCCAGCTTGCCGAAGACGTTTCGAGTATTTGGCGTAAAGCCTATGTAAGTTAGCTCATTCGAAAGGGAATTTTTTGCTGATCAAGATGTATTGTTCTATTTTTGACAAATTACATTTTTCGAATTCGTACAGAGTCTTAAAGGGGCGGTTTTTGACGATTTTGCCAACTTTGATATAGAGAGCGTCCAATGCTGGTTTTCTTGTCCGAGGTTATTTTATCATCGCTAGTGCTTTTTTGGGGTCACACAGTCAAGAAAAACTTATTCCCGAACTTGGAAATGCAAAAAGTAGAAACCTGTCAAAAAGCAAAAAATAAAAGTCGTGAGCGGATCCGAACCCTGGTCATACACCCCAGAGACCCATGCGCACACCACTAGGCCACAGAACCGATGCACAGGGTGCGCTGGGAGGGGCTCATATCGCAGCGGCGCCTTTCGGTGCAAAACTTAAAATGCTCATAACTTTTTACCGTTATATGCTCTGGTTGATTTAATTACATATTTGGAATGCCCTCGACAAGGCGCGTCGAATGGTGTATATGACTTCTCAAAGTTCGATGCCGTGTTCAGATACCTCCCTAGTTAGGCAAAGGATGCTGGGCGTAAGGTAGCTGGTCTTCTGTTAACGCAATACCCGAAGAGACCTGGTCGTAAATCCTAGAGACATCCGTAAAGTCGTCTGTTCGGAATAAGAGCGAGCCGCCCCGGCGCCCCTCTCCAGGGTCCGGGTTTTAGCAAACCATCGAACGTCGCAGCAAAATGCTCGCAACCTTTGACAGCACTCAGCTCCTGAAATTTATCCATTTTTTTTAATACTCCCACTATAAATAAAAATAGCGCTTGTGTGTGCCACTTTGCATCCACTTCTGTACTGGGTGTCCCAAAAAAAAGCACCCCCCCTCTAGCGGTCCGGGGGAAGCTCAGATCGGGATGATTTTTATACCATTCGAAAGCTCTCGGAAAGACGAGAAAACAAGCGGGATTTATTTTATGAGATTTATTTTTATACGCTGGATATTCAACGTTTTTCTAAAAAACAGGTAGATTTTCAATAGGAATTTCGCGATTAGCATGCAGATTTCGCGTAAATCTGCCGTTTTCATGGTTTTTGGACGTAAAATCTGCTAATAAAAATAGATAATAAAGAAAATGAACCCTGCTTGTTTTCTCGCCTTTTCAAGAGCTTTCGATAGATACCTAAACGATAAAAATCGGACACGACTGCGCGCCGCTAGAGGGGGGTGCTTTTTTTTTGGGACACCCTGTATGTCTGTCCGGAGAATTTCGGGCTAGGGTATGAATTTCAGAGTACATCTGATAGTCATTAGGTGCGTGATGGTCTGGAGGTGACTGAACGTATATCAGATTTTACAAAATCAGCGATTTTCGACATTAAATTTAAGTTTTTGTGTAACCTTTTTTGTTAGGAAATAATTAGCATAGACCGGAAGCGGGGATTCGACTAAATAAAGGCACAGAAGAGCTTGTTTACCATTTTCTTACCTCTGAATTCCTGATAATTATGCAAAAGTGAAGAATAAATGGGGTAAGACAGGGCCAGGCTGACAAACTCGCGAAGCGGGCGGCTGCGGTCCATCCGGCTTCGCAAGACTACTGGAAATCAATCTTAGAGTGGTTTTTTAAAGCGAAGTTGTTAGCTCTAGGCCCAAACTGAATCTTACCGCATCGCATGCTCCACTTCGGCAATCCCGTACAGCCGCTACTGTGACCACCAGGCCCAGCATAAATCAACCAAAATTCCCGCCCATTTCCGAACAATCCGGTCGCAATGAATTCCATGAAATATTAAGGCGCTGACCTTTTATCGGGCGGCACTGCATGATCCAGAAAGCATCAGCAAGCGGGGGCGGGGGCTGATCAATAGCGACGCCATGCTAAATTTTCATCGAGTTTCGATCGTTTTTGCTCTTTGAACAAAAACGTAAAAATGTGACGGGGAGGCATGAATTTTTGAGCGAAAATCTGGGTTTTTGGCCGCATAAAATTTGCAAGACGATGCTTATAAAACTGCCCGCTCCCATGCGTTGGATATTCTTTGAGAACGGATCGTCGGGAGATGGCGGAGAGGTTCGCCATATTTCTGCTGTTCCTAGCGACCACCGTATCCGCTGTACCGGATTGTCGCAATGGGGCGTGCGATACGGTAAGTTTGTATCACGATCTGCAGCTAAGGGATTCTCTTAAAAACGTATTTGAAAATGTTTTTAGCTAACTTGCGAAGCGGGATGGACCGCGCTGAACCGGACGAGGAGCTGTTTCAAGGTATCCATACGGCTAGTGAGCTAGATCCAGCTGCTCTGTCTTTTTCTAGCTGATCAGAAATGTCGATATCTCGAAAGCGGAAACAGAATGCGGAATCTACGGTGCAACGGTGGCTTCGGTCGGGAACGCGGAGGAAAATAAGGATATCCTAGGTATAACCTCTTTCAGTATCGTTACAGCATCTTAAGAATTTGGAATCATTGCTCAAGTCAAGAAGAATGAAGCGTATCTTCTCGGCGCCAAGAAGGTAGCTAAAATTATCGCTTTTGAAGTGAAGCAGATTCCGACACGTCGTAACTCGCCGACTAAATACGCGGGGAAATAGGGGAAAAGAAGAAGACGTAAATAGGCGTCCGCGTAGGTCCTGTTTTAGAAGGGCAGTGGTCCTCTGGGATTTGAATGGATTGATGGGAAAAGGTTCAACTACACAAATTGGAAGAAGGGAGAGCCGAGCGATAAGCACAATGGAAAAAAGGAAGAGTGCGTTGAGGTGAGAACTTCAAAAACCTCCTAAACGAAGTCAGAACAAAGATTCGCGGGAATTTTGTTTAGATGTTCGTGCGGTACTGGAAGTTTGACCGAACGAAGAGCTTGGAGCAAAATATGGAAGCCACTGGCGCCGGAAAATGGAACGATCTGAGATGTGATTGGAGTTCCAAAGCTTTCGCATGCCGTAGGGATCAAGTAAGAAGTACCCTGGCTCTAATAAGGCTAACGCTATGTAGCGCGCCGAAATGCAAGCACCCAGCAAAGACACTCCAGTCGGCCCGATTGTCACGAGCACGGCTAGGGCGGTGACGTCCGCCACGAAGCAGCGCTATGTAAGCGTTAAACCAAGATATACTTTGGTATTATAGTTACTAAAAACCGGTGACCAAAAGTTAACTATAAGCTCAGTTTAAGTCCTTTTTCCGTCTTTTAGTTTTTAGTTTTCGCTTGTTCCGTTTCGCATAGATTTGGAGGGAGCGCCAGAAAATTTGACCTCCCTCATAGAGCGTACAGAAGAGACTTTCCACGTGCAGGGTTCCGATTTCACGTCGTCACCTCAATTTTCGGCATTGCGGCCGGGACGAGCATGGCCAGATTGCGTGTTTTTTTGCCGCGGCCGTTAGACCCATTTTCTGAGGCACCTCGGTTTGCTAAATGTTGACCTCATCGGATTTTATCACACCAAATTTCATTCATCGACTCCTGTTCATCAATGCAAATTAGCATAAGTGGTCGTTTGGGCGTTCAAAAACCATCTCCAGAAGCAAGGAAACCGTTTCATATTGCAACTCAAATTTGCGCGATCGGTCAATAATTCACCATTTGTAAAATCAACATTATAGGCTTCGTGCCCGCCTCGTTGGAAGATGATCGCTGCCTTTGAAAAATGTTATGCGGTAACATCAGACGAAAAAAAATCACTACGTCCCAGATTCTCGCATCGCCCACCAATTTCGATGACGCTCAAGCGAACTGCGTGCGGTACAATGCCACCTTGCTCCACATTGACAACAGCGTCGAAGACCAGTTCATCAACGGTTTGGATGGCCTTTTTGCCCGATCAGACAACGGGCCGGGCCCGGACATTTTAAGCCCAAAAAGTAGCATACACCCGTGCCGACGGGCTTCGGCTTGCTTCATGGTCCGAAGCTGAAGTACAGTGCCCCCCCGCCCAGCCAATCCCCGCGTACTGTATTTCAGCTACCCTTTGTCCTACCGGGTTGTAAAGTATACCAAAATACTCACCAGCCAAGGCAAATGGTTTGGCATACTTTGAAAACCTATAGGCCAATTGGGAGCCGAGATACGAAAGTGGGCAGCCGGCTGGCTGGCTCTTATCACGCTATCAGGAGTCCCTGTTGTGAATTATTTTCAATCAAAACTTGGCTACGGTTTATTTTACCCCTCCCCCCAGCCGGAAGTTTTTGGCTATAACTTTTTTATTTTACATTATTGTAGGCTCAAATTAAAACTCTTAGTATATTTTTCGACGCTCTATCGAATAGCGTTGCACAACTCCCGACAAAATAAGCGAAAATACCGAAAGCTTTCAGACCCTTCGGCTGTGGGGGGGGGGTAAGGTAAACTCTTACCCCAAACTTTGATGCAAATTCCAAAATGGTATTCTCAAAGGTTACTGAACCCGCACGGTATATTTAACCCGGATATGACGGTAATGAGAACCGTATCTCCGTACTGATCGAAGATTTGTGGGACGTTTGGCAATTTTCTTAATTAGCTTTTGAAGACCGCTATCCTGGCCGGAAGAAGGCCCTCGAAATATTCAAGTTTGTATAGTAATTTGGGTCCTTGAGTATTCCGGGGGAAGAATTCGCGGGGGGAAACCTTTTTCTGTTTTTTTCGGGCACTTTTTTTTTCTGTTGGCCCTGGTGGGCATAGTAATCAAACATAAAGTGTTTTCACATTGTTTTAGCAAAATTTAAGCCGATTTAAATAGGAAAAACTTTTTTAAAAGTCAGAAAAACGCTTGAAAAAGTCAAAAATTTGGTCATTTTTGGGTCGAAAAAATTGATTTCGACCTAAAATTAAATTTTTTAATTAAAATTTGTAAAGCTTGTATGCTTAGGAATAGCTATAAACAATTTAGAAACACTTCCACTATTGATATAAAAAATCTAGGCTTGGGCCGGAAAAAGTTCGATTCCCCCGGGAATACTCAAGAACCGTAATTTGGAATTGGGGCGGGGGGCGTAAATCTGCCATTGCTTCCGGGGCCGGCTCCGGATAATTTCAGGCCGGGACCGCGCGCTCCGCTAATTTGCATCATTTCCCGGGGCACGCAAGTGAACCATTCTCAAATGTAAATTCTAGGCCCCTAGGCTTGGAATCGCGATGCATGTGAAATAAATCATCTTGTTTAGGATGGGCAGCAGGCGTCTACAGTGGTGCTCGTTTTTGGCTGGGAGCGCGGAGGGTCAGTAGATTTTTCCATTTTTAGCCTTTTGAGTTGAAAATATGCATCGCGTCGTGAAAAAAATATAGCTGACGGCTCCCTATCCTAAGAACCGTTCCCATAAGTCGGCAAATGTCTGATAGCTTAAAAGGCCGTCCGCCAGTCACTCGAACAGGCCCCATACTAGCTTGGCACAGTTTTTTCGACGCATTTTTTATGACGTCATCTGAAAGAGCATGGTCGAATTAGTAGAGTGGGATGGTTTTGAAAGTTTTAAAAGTTTAATTTTGAGGTTAAAATGGGCCTCAAAGTTGCCGACACCCAAAAATATATCGAAAACTACTGAACAGAATTTGCCGAAACTTTGTGACAATCCCTAATTTGGGTCGGGGAACATTTTTCTAATACATTGCAAAACCAGAAAGTGGCCGGAACATAGGTATCTTGCGTACTAAAAACAGTTTTTTCGGAATTAGTAGTTTTACGGGTGATCGCTGCATCAAGCGATTAATGCCAAAAGATGCACCGAAATTTCCTCTATCGATTGATGTATCTTTTAGAATGCAGCGAGCACCCGTAAAAACCGAAAAATCGTCCTGAATGTTTAATGTTTAATCGTCATTAATAAAAACCAGGATCGAAAAGCCGCTTCGCGACCTTTCAACCCTTTTGGGTTTTGAGTCTGAATACGCTGAAAATATGTTAAAATAATAAGGTGCGCATGATTCCCACTATCGAATACATAAGTTCTCCAAATTACTGTCCGAAATTCCATCAGGGCTGCGGGTTATGCCATGGACACCATGGCTTCTAACCCATTTTGTTAAGAACTTTGTACTTTTTTGCTTGTAAAATTGCTAAATGAAGGAATTTCGAAAAACAAAAAAATGCGTGTCAGGCAAATGTATTTCTCATAGAATGCTTATAGGATAGGATAGTTGCCTTGCCCTCCAGCCCCATATTGCGAAAGAACCCAAGTGTTTTCAAGGTGCCGCCGACCATTAATGGCACGTTTGTTTGGATCGACACCAATTCAACGGGTCAATATTATCCTTGGAAGGAAAGTCAATATATGTCGAGGTCTGAGTTGGATGAAGAAGACGAGAGATTGCGTAGGGGCAATTGGAACGAATGCCTGGAGGTAAGCATAATCGCATGTATTTCATCATTTTTTTTTCCACGTCAGACACGTCTTCCGTTCTGGCAGGGGAAGGATTGCTTGGCTAGTAATAACTACGCTATCTGCCAGAGAGCCGTCACCTGGACATAGTTGAGCAAGACCCTGGAGACTTTCATTCCGAATAAATCTGAATAAATGGTGGCTGTGTCGCAATGCGTCAAAAACTGGCAAATGAATCTTCGGAGAATTTTGGGAATTCAGAAAAAGTTTTTTTCTGTGTTCTCTAACAAAGATTTCCCGTCTATCTTATCCAGGCCCGTAGGAGGGGGGCCGAAATCGGTCGAGGTCTGAAAAATGCATAAGGGGGGGACCCTTATGATTTTTAGTTACAAACATTTTTCTGCCTGCGGCGCTGTTTATTACTGTTTTTCAAACAGGTTTTACTTATATGAAGCCTATTTTTTCAAAAATGTTTGCCTGCGGCGCTGGTTTTCCATTGGTAAATCAATCATTCATAAAAAATTTTCGCCTGCGGCTCGTGTTCTGCAGTGTTTTCACACGAATTTGAGTGTAACAAACGCTTTTTTGCCTGCGGCGCTATTATTGACGCGATTTTCGGATGTTTTAAAAGTGGCGACGGGGGGATGGGGGGAAGGTCGCCAAAATTTTTGGGCCCCCCCCCCCGAAATTTCGGTTCCGCTACGGGCCTGATCTTATCCAACATGAAAATTGTTGAATGCTTTACAATATTTTTAGCAATTATTTCACTTTGGGAAGGCATCGATGTTCTGTATAGAGAAATCTAAATCAGACAAAGGATAAATAAAATATAACCGATAAAGACTGAATAAGAAAATAGTCTGGTGACTTCTATTTAGCTGTTACGACTTGTAAGGCGGTTGTAAGGCGTGAACCATAACGGGCGATGACGCGCAAGGTTTTGCAATAGCTTCGTAAAAATTTAAACTTCTGTAATTCTAACAACGAGCATAGTCATTGAAATCACCACGATTTTTACCGCAGCAAAATTATACTCAACGCTATTTAAAAGTTTTTTGCAGATACGGAGCTTTGAATTCTCCGTTCTCTTACGGATTCTCGTCTTTGAAGTCTCCGTTACAATCTGTCGGGAAGATTGAAGTCAAGTGCATTTGAATTGTTAAAACAGCCTCACGGCTTTAAAGAGCGCCGCCCTTTATGAGGGCGCTTTCTTTGAAGTCGGGCTCGGCCAAAAGGAAGCTAAAAAATGTTAGCGCCAGAATTTTTCTGTAGCCTAAGCTTGTTCCTTATTTTTGGACCATTCACGAGCGGTGCAGTCACTTGCCCTGATCAAACCTGGGAAACTTCCGCACAGCTTGATGCTTGCTTGAAGGTAGGGTTCCTTTACTAGGCTTCTACATGCTAAGACTTGCTTTTTCTAGCCAATTCTCCAACCGGACATTGGAGAGGCCCGAAACGAATGTAGGAACCTGAAAGGCCGCCTAGCGTCAGTCGGATCTGCTGCCGAAAACCAGGAAATTACACGTAATTTATCTGGATATCGAAAAGCCTCAAATTCCATTAGGTATCATCCAAAATTGGGACAAGTCGAAGACGGCCGGCTCGATTTACTACCTTGGATCTTTGAGAGTAAGGTATTGCTTGCCAAAACAAAAATTAGAAATTCAGAAATCCGCAAAAAGCAAAGAGTTTGTTTGGCTGGACGGCCGGCAGTTTGAATTCACATTTTGGGATGCGAACGAGCCGAACGCGTTGATGGAGGGGTGCTTGGAGGTAGATTACGAGCAATTATATATAAACCTTGACTTCTGATAACTTGCATATTTAATCAGCTGAATATATAAGCTTCGTATCTGTGAGTTTGTGTCAACTTCCAGATCCGACTACCCTACGGAAAATGGAACGATATCTCGTGTGCTCACCGGGACCTTGTCGCAGTTTGCGAGTACAGAACGGTAATTTCAGAATAGCTTGCTGGAAACTTTCCAGTGGAAAGTGCCATTAAAAAGGATGAAAATACCATATGCAATGCCAATGCCAATGCAAATGCAACATAGTTTATCTAGTGCAGATTTTTTCCTTGCCGCTAGATCTGCTTTCCAAATTTGCGGAAGAGCCCCATTTCGAAAGTTACAGCTGATTTCCTTAAAAATGTTCAGAAATTGTCGATTTTAAATCCCTCTAAAGATCTCGTTAAATACTTTCTGGATAAACAGAGATGGGCAAAAAATATGTTTTTTCAAATCGGACATCCACACGGGCCTGTAGCTCCATTTTTGTGATTTAACTATTTTTTTTTTGAATTGTCGCGCGCTTTGCGAAAATTTTTTGACCAATTTTCGTAATTTTGAATTTCCAAATTTTCTAATTTTAGAGCTGGCCCTACGCCGAGTCATCGCATCAATACCTTGACCCAACCGCGCAAGAGGTGTCGGCACCAGCGAAACCTACAACGACAACGACAACCCAAAAAATCACGACAATCTCCCAGAAAGTTTGCGGCTTCGGGTGGTCGATAGGACCGCATGGATGCTATAAGTTTGTGAGTTTTGAATAGAATAGAGCTTATTCAAATCACTTTTGACCCAGCGAAGCTTACAGAAAAAGTGTAGAAAAGGCCAAGCACTGACTTTCAGGACATTACCCCAAGAACCTACATCAACAGCTATGCCTACTGCCGAGATTTCAACAGCTTCCCGACGTCTGTCGTTGATGATGAGGAGAATCGATTTGTTACTGGTAAATGGCCGTATTACTGACAATTAAGAGAGTCATTTTCACTTTTCCTGATCTATTAAGCCCATTTTTCAGCTCCTTAAAGCCTATTTTAGACCTGGCAAAACGTGGCGGCGAACCCTGGCATTTTTGGAATGGCGCCCATGTGGTAGGTTAATTGTTATGGTTTTTCTACCACCGTATTCCTTCCTTTACTTGGCTTGAAAAAGAAAAAGTAAATGTATCGGAAACTTTCAAGATGAAACACCACACAAGACTAGTGTAAACGATAAACGCTTAGCATTGTGACGGGGAAAGTAGCGTGGCGTAGTCCACCTTGACAACGCAGTGCTCCAAAGCACGTTACGGCCATGCAGTACACGATTTAAATGCATGCCATCCTATTCTGGACGTGTTACTGGCCTGTAAATGACCTTTTCCAATTTCAGCACTTGGACGGGACGCTTCTGTGGGCGGACAATGAGCGGAACGTCACGTACTCGAACTGGACCCAAAGGTTGTGGGGCAACACTGGAATTGGGTACACGAAACCGGATAATATTGCAACCGATCGGTGTGTGGAGGTATGTTTTCTAGCATAATCTACACATTAAATGGTGCGGTACGTGCTATGCGTTTAGATCATGACTTTCCGCAACGGAAACGGATGGGACAACACATATGAATGGAACAACGATCCGTGTGATTTCGCCAAGGCCGTCGTGTGCAAGAAGCCATTTGGATATTGAGTAATGATAAATCTACTATAAATGGAGTTTGCTAAAAGCATTTACAGCGATAAGTACTTTATAACAAGCTCTTAAAACGATCGGCAGTCATCCAGAGAATGCACGCTTGCAAATAGCGGGTTTCAGCCAGAAGCAGGGGTCATTGTTCCATTGGGACTTGTAAGGCGCAAATGTCATCACCTAAATTCAAGTCCACAAACTTAACGTGTCCAAATCTTACCTCAATACATGGCTCCGTTTTCACGTTGTCCGGTTTCTGAACGCCAAAAAGCCTGGCCCAATTGGCAATGGTGGAGGGTTGACCATCGTCCCAAGTCATGTTCGCGCCGGGAGCCTGTAGAAAATGTTAAATTTTCAATTAAATATTTGTTTGATAGGTTTTTATACTGATTCACAGCCAGTTTTTTAGACCCACCACTCTTCCGCCGGTCCAAAAATGTAACAACCCGCCGCGTTTGATTGCAAACTCTGGAAAAATGTATTTTATGAGGCTTTTATGAGCTTCAGTATTTTATGAGACTGTCTTCATTTATGTTAGCCGAACTGGGCAATCTTAAATCCCCCCTGCTAACGCGAAAGCACCTGCATTTCTAATGCTGAAAAGGTTAGGCTATTATATACCAGTGGAAAAAGACCGCTTCGCGGCCCTTTTCCACTGGACCCCGTCAATGAACCATGAATTTAAATACTTTCTTTTTCGGCCTGCGCATGAACCTGAGTCAAGGAGCCATTCTTTGGCCTGCGGCGCAAGAGCCAGAGTCCTTGAGCAGTGAGCTTGCGCTAGAATCCTTGGGCCTGCGGCGCTAGTTACTGGTTTTTTTCTCCCGGAATCTGGCCTGCGGCGCGAGAGCCTTGGTCCAGGGCCCATCATTGGCCTGCGGCGCGAGAGCCTGGGTCCAGGACCCATCCGTGGCCTGCGTCGCAGAGCCTGGGTCAAGGACCTTTTCTTTGGCCTGCGGCGCTAGAGCGAGAGCCAGGCCTAAACCTCACAGAACGTGAGCCTAAAAATAAGTTTTGTTGCTGAACTACCAAAAAGCAAAAAGTTAAATTGGCCGAGGATCCGAACCCACGAGCATGCGCGTGGTAGACCCCACCCCAATCCACTACACCGCGGGACTGATGGGAACGGGGCGGCAAAGGTCTGTTCTGTCCTGGGGGCAGGTCCGCTCCGGGCAGCGGTAAAGAAATGAGAGCTGGGAGGGATGCCTTCTGGTCGCTTTGCAAAATTCGCTTTTTTAGTCTGAAACTGCCAAAAATTTGTCAAAATAATAAGATGCGCGTGATCCCCACCATCGATTACATAAGTTATCCAAATTCCAGCCCGAAATTCCATCTGGGCTTCGAGTTATGGCCTGGACACCACGACACTTTCGCCATTTTGTTAAGGATTTTTTCGAAAAATGCTTATAAAAACCTTATTTTAAGGAATTAACAAAAATCCAAAAAATAGTATCGAGATATTTTCATTATGCATCAACCCACCAAAAATCAGGGTCTAACTCCTTCAGGCAATCGAGATAGCCTCTGAACAAACCTTTTTTTGGTCAAAATGTTAAGGGTTTTATACTATTTTCCTTGTAAAATCGTTAAATTAAGGAATTTCGAAAAACAAAAAAATGCGTATAAAGAGGATGTGCTTCTCCGCCTCCATGCCAAAAATCAGCGCGAAATTCGGCCTGACGGCCGAGAAATCGTCATTACAGAAAACACACATACTTTTCTCGCTTATAGGATAGGATTTATTTTAAAAAAGACACGGACGATGCTATTACCTGCCAGCCAGTTATTTTCCTCGGTATCAACCACGGACGTCAGATTTGATCCGATGCTGCGGCAGTGGTCCTGGTGGTCCCAGCGCGATTTCAGGTCACGAGCCTTCAAATGTGTTTTTTAATCACCTTGTATAACATTATATTGTTTTTTAAGCTTTTTGGATAGTTTATAGTTGTAGTAATATACAGTTATTATTTTTTAAAGTGCTTTTTCCGCCATAAAACGCACATAATCATAACATCCCTTCGGTCCGACCGTCCAGTGCGGGGGGGCAGGTCGCTGCCGAAGCCAGCTTTAAAGTCAAAACACAAATTATAGGGAAAGCATGACTTTATGGATGAAAGCTCAAGATGAATCACTTTTATCTGTCCCGGGCACGATTAGCATAGCCGGCTCGAGGAATTTCAAGCATGGGAAAGCGGGGCCGTTTGAGGATGATGGCGCTTGTGAAAACCTAAGATCTGGCTCTAGAACAAGTCAGAAACCAGAAGGTGACCACGATTTGACAGTTAATTTTCTGAAAAGATCTAGGTTAGAGTGCAGTTTCCCCCCCGCCGAGCCAACTTTTGTATCTCGGCTCCCTGTTCATCTACAGGTGTGTAAAGTATACCAAAATACTCGCCAGAGCAAGACGAACATTTTGGTATACTTTACACGCCTGTAGATGAACAGGGAGCCGGGATACGGTAGGTGGGTGCCGGCTGGGGGGTAAACTGCAGATACAAGATCTACTTCAGAATGTAAAAAAGCTGGTCAAAAAAAACCGCAAAAACACGGTGTCGCCTTTTGTTGTAGCAAGTCCAGACTATACCTTACGGCTTCTAAAAATTAGTAATATTTTTGGTACCGGCCTGTTAGCGGGGGGTGGATTTGTGGCTCTGTACCGATAGCACGGGGCAATGACAACAGAACGGGGCATTGACAACAGAACGGGGCATTGGCAACAGAACGGGGCAATGACAGCAGAACGGGGCAAAGCCAGCAGAACGGGGCAATGGCAGCAGAACGGGGCATTGCCAGCAGAACGGGGCATTGCCAGCAGAACGGGACATTGCCAAGTCCCCGCGGCCGGCGGCCAGCAGAACGGGGCATTGCATATTTTCTCAATCTCTCGCCTACTTTTTTCTCTGATTATATTTTTTGGATTCACAGAACTGTTTGTCAACCAGGCCGAACGATTCTAACTAGGGAAGTCCAAAATACCCCGCAACACGGATCGGAATGAGAATTTGTACATTTATAGATGCGACCAGGCTGATAATCGCCTCGATTTCCGAATCTGCTGCAGAGCCTAGAAATTTGAGATATTGAAGTTTTGGTGTCATTTTTTGGGCCCCGGAAAAGGGTTTGTCAGGATATCGAACTTTTTTTCTGTAATTGTCTAGTTATTTAAAGTAGCCTAACCGATAGAGTATTTTTTCTGATTTTTCTGATTGCATGGTATATTTCTTTAATACACGAAGGCCTTTGCGCTATCCTAAGCTGCTTGAATTAGGCTGTTTTCTACCATTTCCATGGTAAAGTCGGAGTCCATACCAAGTATCGTCGATTTTTCTATAATCTATCATCAGGGAAAAAAAGTAGGCGAGAGACCATAAAAATACGTTTTTCTGAGAAAATATGCAATGCCCCGTCCTGCTGGCCGCCGGCCCCCCTGGCCAAACCAATGCCCCGTTCTGCTGGCCGCCGGCCGCGGGGACTTGGCAATGTCCCGTTCTGCTGGCAATGCCCCGTTCTGCTGCCATTGCCCCGTTCTGCTGGCTTTGCCCCGTTCTGCTGTCATTGCCCCGTTCTGTTGCCAATGCCCCGTTCTGTTGTCAATGCCCCGTTCTGTTGTCATTGCCCCGTGCTATCGGTACAGAGCCGGATTTTTAGCAGGGGCCGCACAAGACTACTAGGAAAAAATTTCCTTTCCTCGTACTAAAACCCCCCGCCCCCGCTAAGAGTCAAGTACCAATTTTTATGCCTTTTCCACAAATCCCGGAAAACACGTTTATTCATTCATTAAAACAACAGTACATACAAGGGGGAACATCGTAGAGTTCCAGCCTACAAAACCTTTGGATCTGCACAAGATATTAATATTTGTGGGTCATGGGAAGGGAACCACAATTATAAATCAGACGAAAAATATAAATTCAGAAAATGGCAAAAACACGTTGGATGAAGAGAGGGAGACAAATAGAGAAAATGAGAGACTGGACAAAATGATATCACATTTGTGAAGCCGTGTGAATAGCTGCATGGATGTAGCTAGTTTTTAAAAGATTTAAAATCTTTTAAAATACATCAAAACCGGTGCGGGAATTTTTGAATCTGGCTTTCGGATGGGGGTTTCAAATGGGGATCAATTGATTTGCCATTAAAATTAAGAAAGGACGCAAATAATATGGCCAAAATCGTAAATTCGCTTAAGGTATCGAGAAACCTTCAAGCAATTATTAAAAAAAGCTAAAAATGATTGTTGATAAGTTTAGAATCGAGGGGACGTTGCGAATTTTCGAGGCAAGCAATTTGGAAATTCGTACTTTCCAAAATTTTCAAAGGAATATTATGGCACGAGCTTACAATACAACTAGTTTCTCACTGCCTATTTCTTGAACGTGGGGAGTCGCAGTCGTTTCGAACGTCGCAAACCGGATGAAGCGTCCGTGTCGGTGTGCGGAGGCTCAGAAGAGATGCGCTTGATCCGGCGTGGTGGCTGGGGCTGCAGCTTGGGTCGACTTTTTGCCGCTAGCGCCAGTTTTCGAGCTGCGTCGGCGGCACGGCCGTGGTCATCTTGGCAGTCTTCCACGATGCACATCCTGAAAACGTTACTTTAAATTGGTAATAGTTAAAATAAGACAGTGATTCTTTAAAAACCCTCTTGTTGCTTTCTCATTATCGTTAGGGTAAACCTTAGGACCAAAAAAACCTATAAGCAATTTTAGAATTCTTAGAACCACACTATTTCGATTTCCGCTATTTCTAAATATAAAAATTCACCTTTTCCGAAATAAACCTTACGAATATATAAATTTCGAACTCAAGGTCAATTTTTAAACAGTTTGGTAAATTTCAAATTTTTCCACGTTTTACGAATGGAATTTCCAATGAAATATAGCTGAGTTTTGCCATAAAATTACGATACCGTATGCTTTTTTCGGTAAGAAAGGTATTTTTTAAGAAATATGGTAAAAAAACTTTCGTTTCCTGCCTAAAACGACCATTTTGGGCAGGAAACGAAAGCACTACAATTTTTAAACTCAAGAAGCTTACATCTCTTCATCACCCGAATCGTCAGTCTCGCCGATGTTGACTTCGCCATTCTCATCTTCATCCTCTTCATCCTCGCCTTCATCTTCCGATATCTAAAAATGTAAAATAAATTAATTCACAAGAATTTACATACCACTCTCAACGATTTGTCGTCATACTTGGCGGTGATCGCCCCGGGGAGCGGCTGTTTCACCGCGCTGGTACGGCCGATGTAGATTACCTAAAAAAATGAGGAGGTCCTCCAAAAAATACGGACAACTCACCTGTATCCGCCCGCCGTCAGTTAGCCCAACGGCAAGACGCGTTCTTTCCAACTCGGTCAAAACGTCGTATGCACAGTTGAGCAGCGTGAGGCTGATCGGACGCAATTTCTAAAAAATTGAAATATTGGAGTAGGCACTTTCAGCTAGTTTCCAATAGCAAACAAGCATTAATGTTTACCCTGAACGCCCTCAGAATATTGCTGAGGTCATCCTTCTCGAAGGTGATGTTCAGCACCTCGATGTGTTTGACCTTCCACGGCCGCAGGTAGCCGATCCCGTTGAACAGGCTGAAGA